CTTAACATGATAGCCTTAATACTTTATGAAGTTCAATAATTGTTCATATTTTCATAAATTTGCATCCCAACCCAACAAGTTACTTCTCTCCAGAGGATGGAGATCATATCTATGTCTGTTTTGTCACCGATGTAATTCCATGAAAATGCAGAGAATCCAGATGATGTGTGAACATTGCAGAACCTGTACTGGCTGTGCCAAAACCTCTGAATTTGAAAAGGCTTATAATGTGGAATTAAGCGGATGTCTTCATGCGGAAGGTTTTCAACCTTTGCAAGAAGGATGGCCAAGTCTCATGAGTCATCTCCTCTAAAATAACTTTTCCTCATGCGATGTCCTTCAGCTACGTTGGATTTTGCTGACTGAGAAGATATTTTGGCAAAACCGGCTATAAAATTGCTGTCAGGTGAATCATGGAGAGTCTGAGCAACAATCATTTATGAGGAAGCTTGTGATGGAACCCCATTAGAAAGAGAGTTTCTGCAAGTGGCAGCAGGACACCTCATTATAGGAAAGGCTTCTTCTCTATCTTAACAGAGAGAGGGTGCAATACCTCTTTTAAGGTGCTTGTCAGTTTTATACTTATTTCTGCAACACCAGAACTTTTATCCCACGAGTGAAGAATGTTCTTCACAGAGGGAACAAAACTTCCCCAACCCTTCCTTTAAAGATAGCAGAATATCAGAATAGGAGAGTTGGAAGGGACCTTGGAGGTCATCTAGTCCAACCCCCTGCTCAGGCAGGAAACCCTCCACTATTTCAGACAGATGGTTGTTCAATCTCTTCTTAAAAACCTTAAAAACACTGGAGGCAAATCATTCCACTGATTAATTGTTCTCACTGTCAGGAAATTCCACTGATTAATTGTTCTCACTGTCAGGAAATTGCACTTAGTTCTAGGTTGCTTCTCTCCTTGATTAGTTTCCATCTGTTGTTTCTTGTCTTGCCCTCAAGTGCTTTGGAGAATAGGTTGACCCCCCCCTTTTCCTTGAGGAAGCCCCTTAGATGTTGGAAAACTGTTATCATGTCACCCCTAGTCCTTCTTTACATTAAACTAGATATATCCAATTTCAGCAACTGATCTTTATATGCTTTATCCTCCAGATAAAAAGCAAAAGGTTTTTTTAAAACCATCTGTCCATATCACAGTGACCTAATTCAAGAGCAAAACGCTCTGAGTTAACATTATATATTCTGCTGACTTAAGTGAAAAGCTACACCATCCTTCGTGTGTTACTGCAACCGCATCATGAGGTTATTACTGGATCAAGGAAGTGTACTGCACACTAGCCAAATGCCTTCAAAATCCTGTGGACATTTGGACTAAGTATCATCTGACATAATGGATCTTACTTAAAATAGGCGTAGGAGACCAGCAGAATACGGAACACACCAATGCAAACACCCAGCAGTGCCTGCTATGATTTTTTGACTGCTTAATTAACTTACCCACTTCACACAGATTCAAGGAATCTGCCTATATCAATACGAAATATTGCAAATATTAAAACCCCAGCATTAAAATTACTTTGAGAAAAAGTGCAAAATGTCTGCAAGTTATCAAACTTGGTGTGCTTTTAATTCTGGTTTCCTGAAATCCTATTCCTAGAATAGGCAATTCCCTTCCTTATAACTTATAAGCACATCTTCATATGATGATACTTCTATGTATGGTTATCAGAGTCTAAGAACAAACAGTCCCCAGAAGGAGAAAACAAAGGTAAGACATTACCCTTTCCTTCTTGGGGCTATCCATCCTATTTCTGTGATCCAGCATGGGGGCAGCTCTCTGCACCAACCAGGAGACGGTGGTCCAATCAATCACCCCAAGGTCCAAAGATGAACAGGGCCAAACGCTTTTCTTCTCAGTCTGTCTCTTTCCTCACCACACCCTTGGACGGCCTTAGCAGAGAAGACAGTTCTCCTTGTTCTGCCTCTTGGAAGTTCTTCCGCTTTCTCTGGTGGCTTTATGTCAGGCAAAATGTTACTTCTTCTCCTTTGGAAGCTGACGTTTGAAGCGACGAGCTTTCTGGTCTCTGGGTTTCTCCTTGCCTGGGGGTTTCTCTGACTTCCTCTCTTTGTTCTAGCGAGTCACTTTGTGTGGTGTTGAGCAGGTGCCTCCATTGTACGAAGATCCCTTTTGTCCTTCAATCTTTGGGTGAAGGCAAAGCCGTGAACTTTTTTGCAGCGAGAAAAATACTCCTTGCCTCCTGAGGAACCCAGCCTAGGACCTCTTGATTCAGTTACTCTTCTGGACACATTACGTTTATTTACTTTAGTGCTTGGAGATGCTGTCTCATTTCCGCGGTCCGCAAGGCCTGTTTCCGGGGATGGGTGGGGGTATCAAGACTAACCCTGCATTGCCATAGTGATGGGCGAAACCATTTTGCAGTCCCACTGCTCTTCAACCATTAAAAGCTGTCGTGTGGAAGAGCTACCATGGAAATAGGGCTTAATTCAAATGGGCCTAGCAACCATATATATATATTTTTACCTGCTGCTGCATCTGCCTCCGCCAATTAATTGCCAAGCTTAGCAACCTGTAGTGATGTAAGGTCATCAGCATCCTTCTCTGAGAGGCGGAAGATCAGTGGGCATATATTTATGAAAAAAAGGAGAAAAGGCGTTTCCATAATCAACCTGGAGTTAGCAACATCAAATGAGCATTTCCTAGAATTTTCTTGTTTCTCTTCAAATTCTCTTGAAAGTCCCCAATGTACAGCAGTTCAATTAGTGACTGTCTGAAGTTACAATGGCATTGGAAAAAGTGAGTTATGAGCATTTTTCACACTTAGACCGCTGCACATCCCCATGGTCACGTGATCAAAATTCGGCCACTTGGAAGCTGACTCCTATTGACAGTTGCCGTGTCTTGGGATCATGTGGTCCCCTTTTGCGAGAAGCAAAGCCAATGGCGAAGCCAGATTCACTTAACAACTAGGTTACTAACTTAACAACTGCAGTGATTCACTTAACAGCTGGGGCAGAAAAGGTCGTAAAATGAGGCAAAGAAAATACACTTAACAAATGTCTCACCAACCATGATAATTCTTGACCGATAAGCTTGGACCTCCTGTCTTGTTAGCTATTGTATTACAAGTACAAAAGATTCAGTAGTATAAAAACATCCATTAGTCCCAAATGTCCAAGGATCTCCAAGAAATGTGTAGTTGAAGATTTGAGTGACTTTTACCTATAACAGTGGTGGCGAACCTATGGCACAGGTGCCAGAGGCAGCACTCGGAGCCCTCTCTGTGGTGACGTGCACCGTCACCCCAGTCTTAGGCCTTCAGCTGGGTTTTATAAAACCTTTTCACGTTAAGCTCCGCCACCATGTGCAAAAAAGAAAAGAAAAAGGGTTCAATCAGTCAATTTCAACTTCTCACGGGGGAAAAAAAAGATCTTGCAAAGTTGGCATTGATTGATTGAAGTTTTTAGTCCCACCCAGTCTGCCATTACCACTGCAGCCATGCCCACCCAATGGGCCACATCCACCCAGCACCCGACGATGCATAAGTGGGTTTTGGGTTGCAGTTTGGGCACTCGGTCTTTTAAAGGTTCGCCATCACTGACCTATAACAATATGTAAAGTGGTAGTGTTTCCTATTTATTGTGCTTTTCCCTATTTTGTCAACTTTGCATGGTAACTTCCATGTTTTCCTTGTGGTTGAACCGATATGTAATTATTCCATTCTTGTGCTTACAGAGGTAAAAACATCTTTTCAATTTGTATAAAAGGTTGCTGGTCATATCCACCGTCTCCTTAGCCAATTCTTCTTCCTTTTCTACAATCCAGGGCATCTGCAAACCAGACGTCTGCTTTCATCATGATTCCTCCATCTTAGCCACCAGTGAAATTGACAAAGTTGGGTAAACTTGGTTGTTTTCTTTCTCATCTGAAGGAAAGGGGCATGTTGGATATCAGATTATCTCAGCCTTGGCCACTTTTAAGATGTGTGGACTTCAACGCAAAAACTCACTAGAAAGTTGTCTGGGGAATTGAAGTCCACACTTTTTGAAGGATGCTACGTAGAAATGGAAAGATCAGATTTAAGTAGTATTTGCACACTCATGTTCTTCTGGCAGATGATAGAGGCATGTTCACTTGGGTGTGCCAGTCCCCTTAAAGCTAATATACCCAAGCACAGCTAGCAGAAAATTTGCCTTTAAAAATAAAAATCATGGAATATCATTTGACTTATTCTAGTTAGAAGGCAATTTTATTGTGGGTTGTTGCAAAAAGGAATCTGGCCTTGAAGTTGTGGGTGCTCCAACACTGGCGGTTTTAAGAAGAGATTGGGCAACCATTTATCTAAAATCAATCAATTAGAATAGAGCTGGAAAGGACCTTGGAGGTCTTCTAGTCCAACCCATTGCTCAAGCAGGAGACCCTACACCAGGGGAAGGCAACCTTGCCTCTTTTATGACTCATGGACTTCAACTCCCAGAATTCCTGAGCTGGCTCAGGAATTCTGGGAGTTGAAGTCCATGAGTCATAAAAGAGCCAAGGTTGCCTACCCCTGCCCTATACCATTTCAGACAAATGGTTGTCCAGTCTCTTCTTAAAAACCTCCAGTGATGGAGCACCCACAACGTCGGAAGGCAAGCTGCTCCACTGATGAATGGTCCTCACTGTCAGGAAGTTTCTCCTTAATTCCAGGTTGCTTCTCTCTTTGATGAGTTTCCATCCATGGTTTCTTGTTCTGCCTTCTGGTGCTTTGGAAAATAGGTTGACACACCCCCTTCTTTGGGGCAGCCCCTTATTCATTTGGCTGCATTTACAAATCCTATTTATGTGGCACTTCCACCGCTGGGGTGGACTACAACTCCCATGCTGCTTCGAGATTACGGGAGGGGCAGTCCGACAGCGGCAGATTCCCCCACCCCTCGCACCGCCCCACGCTGCCTCCGAACAGTGAAGAGACGCGTGCGCGGCAGCAGGCGGGGGGGGGCCGACTCTTCCCCTTTCCTAGCTCTACATTTTTTTTTCCCTAGCTCTGTGGTTCAGCCGGCCGTCGAGTTGGCAGCCCTTCCGGCGGCTTTTGTCTCCGGGTCAAAGGGCGTGCCGGCTTCCGCTTGGATCACCGTTTCGGGCCGCTCCAGCCGTCTCCGAGGCGACGCGGGGCCGAGCCAGGCTCCCCCCGGGTAGTCAGGTGAGTCCTTGCGGGAAGCGAAGCGGCCTGCTGGGCGGGGGCGCGGCAGGACCCCACCCCACCCCGGTATCGTTACGACCTCCTGGGCTGCTCGGACACCCACGCCCATTATCCCCGGCCAGCTGCCTGAGGGTGTCGGAGGCTTTTCTAAGGGCGGCCCGGGGTGCTGCAGGCCCTGCTGGAGAGCGGAGTGGGCGGCGGGGCTGCGGAGGCGGCGGGGGGCGGACGCGGCGGCCTCTCGGTTTGGCTTCTGGGCCTGGGGAGGGCCTTGAAATGCGCGCAGGAGGGGGGGGGGAGACGTTCCAAAGACTTCATGGCCCTTCTTCCTTCGTCGCCGGCTTTTATTTCGCAGAGCTGCCCCGCGGACTGCTTTATTTTTGTTTTCCAAAGCTCACTTGGGTCCTTTCTTGCTGGGGGGGGGGCGGCGGAGGGTCCCTTAGCTTGTGTTGCGCAAATGGTGCCCCAGAGCCTTTCGCCTTGGTGGGCCAAATAATGGAACTGGAATGGTCTTTTGGGAAAATATTACCTGAGCCGTTTGGATGAAATGTCTTTGCATTGCGGTAGGTCAGTGTTTCCCAAACTTGACAATTTTAAGGCATGTGGACTTCAACTCCCAGAATTCCACAGCCAGCGTTGCTGGCTGTGGAATTCTGGGAGTTGAAGTCCTCATGCCTTAAAATTGTCAAGTTTGGGAAACACTGCGGTAGGTGAAGTTTTTCTGGGGTTTTGTCCTTTTTGGATTTTCCTTGGTAAAGCCAAGTTATAACAACTGTTACATGGTTTTATCCCGATGAGCCTCTTTCAGATTGCCTCATTTTGGTTTCCCCCCCCCCCCCAAGAAAAGAGGGTCAGGATACACATGCAGGTAGTCCTCGACGTGTGTTCATTTAGTGACCGTTCCAAAGTTACAACGGCGCTGGAAAAAAGTAACTTAACAACCATTTTTCATGCTTATGACCGCTGCACCATCCCTATAAATCACATGATCAAAATTTGGATACTTGGCAGGTGACTCATATTTATGACGGTTGCGGTGTCCCAGGGTCATGTGATCAGCTTTGGCGACCTTCTGACAAGCAAAGTCAGGGGGGGGGGGAAGCCAGATTCACTTAACAACCATGTTACTAACTTAACTACTTCAGTGATTTCCCTTAAGAACTGCGGCAAGAAAGATGGTAAAAATAGGGCAAAATAACAAACGTTTCACTTAACTGCAGGAATTTGGGGCTCAGTTGTGGCCGTAAGTCAAGGACTACCTGTACTTAACTGAGGAGTCAGGAATCAATCAGGAAATGTCATGTTTAAACCATGGACAAGTTAGAAGATTCGGAAGGGAAGCCTATTGGTTTGGAAAAGTCCCTTCCATCAAATACATTTAGAGTTGTATTATCCAGCAGGGGAGTGGAAATAAAATATAAAAGAATCCAGCCAAAGATTATCCATATGGTCCAAAATTGGCAACATGGATTTGGAATAGTGAATAAGTGCCAAACCATCCTGGGTTGGGAGTAGTTTACTTACTGCTCCTTAA